ATATATATATATATTATAGTATATATATATATATATATTATATAATATATATATATATATAATAGATATATATATATATATATATATATATATATTCGCAGCTTACACTTTTGGGAGCAATGCGACTGGCAAGAACATTTCATTTACAGGTTGGTGATAAAAGTCACTTCTCAGTTAGATTAGATTTATTGCAAAAACTACCGATAAAGACATACGTGAAACGGGTTTTCTCGATTTTTCTCTTGGATATCTCAATGAAAAGGCGGCTTAGTTCTCGAATCATATAAATGCGCATGGCATAGGTTGCTGCGGTGGCGGCCACCAAGTTGGGCTCTATTATATCTGAAGCATAGAGTCCGACGAAATATTATATCGTTATGTGTAGATTCAAACACACTTTCTTTCTGAACAGGGGTTGCAGCTGAAGCCGTGCAAAACGTTTCAACCGGATTCTCAACAGATCCAGTCTTGTATTGAAACGAGGAACCATGAGTCATCAGGCTAGTATATAACATGATGGTATCAGTTCACGATAAGCTTATTCTTCGTTTTCCTCATCCTCTTCTTCTTCTTCGTTTTCCTTATCCTCTTCCTTGTCCATTTTCTCTTCTTTCTTTTCCGGCAATCGCTGTTCAACCGAGAAATGCGCTCCCTCCCCTGTGTCATCTACAGAAGTCCACGGCCCAAAATTGCAGACGCCTATGAAATGATGAAAGAAAGTAAAAGCATGAATATATGTATTTTCTATGTTCGTGAAGATTCCAGAAAATACTGTACAAACACGCCGGTTTATGACTGTTCAAATAACTCAGTATTTCACAAGTCTCGAATACGCACGTGCTAAGCGAGGCTAGATTGTACACATTCAAGTTGAACGCGCCCTCTCTCGCTTTTCGAGTATAATAAGATTCAAGCAATTCCTCGCCAAACCATAACATACAAGTTAAACCATCCAGATCATCTCCTTCTCCAGGTTTGTCATCGGGGTAGAAATACCTACAAATTGAAGCGAATACCTTGTCAGTTGCATAACTATTGACTGATTATAAACTTGACCAGCACGAGGAGCTAATACAGCTTTAAAGTGTCGAATTGAGTGCGTACACCCTATCTGAAAACGTAATCTGCTGTAATATATTCAACCGAATGGCCCCGTGTGCTACATAACATTGAAACATTAACATACGTTGGAAGACCGCCGAAAGTGACTCCGTCGTATTTTGATATTTGAACATAGCCTTCCTCTCGGAAGATTGAATCCTCCGGCACAGAACTGTCGAAGTTAACTTTGCAGTCCTGATCAGCCTCCGCATACGGCCAATCATCGCCTGTGAAATTTGGTTTTGAATCATAATCCGGGTCGTCCTCCAACTCCGCACTGTCCGGTCTGTAGTAGTATACACATCTGGGATCAGGCATTGCCTTGCCTCCCCCAGTCTCTCCCTGTCTCGCGCCCGTGATAATTACAGCAGGTGTATCAGCCCCACTGTTGGGCGTGCTATAGGAATAATCTGTATCTTTCAGAATGGATATCGTCAGGTCACACTCAGCGCCTTCCACGGTCGTGTACGAAAGCATGCTCACGGCAGCCATCGTCAAGAAACACTTAGATACCATATTTATTATGTCGATATGTTCCAGCACAAAGTACAGAATGAACGTTTCATTGCTCAATGCCTAGGTTATATATTAATCACCATCCCCAATGTTGCAACTAAAGACAACCCTCTTGTCAGTTTTTCATGTATGTACCGAGGACCGAGGACCGAGTATTTTGTCCCTATTGTGCCAAGTGCCAACATATAGATTGTTAAAATTGAACAATTTTAGTCAATATCTACTCCACTTCGAAATTGTTTTGGATATTTGAAATTCTTAAATGTTGTGAGACAGTTTTTAGTTTTAGCCCCATTTAAATTATATAATGATATATATTTTATAAAACAATGTGTCGGCTGACAATAAACCAATAATTTTTACGCAACAGGAATAAATAAGGTATTCCTGTGTATCATTTGCTTTACTATTAATATTTTTTCAATAAATATATATCTGAAGTGATATCATAAGTTCATGACCCTCTCTACTACTCTCACTAGAGAGAGAGTAGAATAGAGAATAATATTAATAAATAATAAGGCTGACGCCCGACGGATACAAATCACAATCACACAAGTCCGCAGGATGTGATATCAGTTGTTTTTTTGTGATATTGTTTTGAAAACAGAAATTTATTTCGGACTAAATAAAAATAACATTTTGTTTTGAATTAATATCTATGATTCATTTTTGTTCTGTATATAGACACAAGAGCACATTCCGCATATAAATTTCAATATTTTATACTGTCAGTGACTGTCAAGAGTCAGACAATGAAACAAGTATATATTGATGTTGTGTGTCTTTTGTTAAAAAAAACATTTAAAAAAATAATCAGGGGCCGGAAAAAAATTGGAAATTGAGAAAACCATGGAAATCCGGGTGCTTTGCAATGAACAAA